GGTGCCAATCCCTTTGACTTCAGCTATGGAATTGTTTCCTACATAAATTCATTTCATTCCATATGGGACTCGTCGGAACTTCACGAATGCACCTTTGTCCTTTGCTACATGGTCTGTGGCTCCCGAATCTACAGTCTACAAAGGATTAGATTCAGTTAGAAAAATCGAACTTAATACAAAAGTAGTATTCTCAAGAAAACAAAGGGTGTCTATCTTCTTTGGTTCGCCATAGTCGCGAGCAAAATTGCCATTTTTGCCATAGTTGTAGCACTTCACCCTTGACATCTTCTTCGTGAAAGGACGCTTTCCTTTCTCATGTTGGTTTAGCTTCGGTTTCTTACTTGAAAAACTCGCTCTCTTGCCCTGCCACCTCTTGAACCCACCCAGGCACTTACGCTTGGAGCCCGAAGTCCCATGTGAGCCAGAACTAGCCAAATAAATATCGGATTCCAGTTTAACAGCCAGAAGGCGGTCCTCTTCCAGCTCAAGATGGTGCATATCATCCTCAAAAGTCTTAAAAATTTCATTGTGGGTTAGGTGGACTTTCATATGCTCTCAGCTATGAAACAAAGAACAAATCACTACTTACACTTGGTGCTCATCAGTCAGTACGTGGCCAGCATCCTTCAGCTCACTGATCATATTTGACATGCACCTCAAATGTTGTTTCATGGTCTGTCCATGAGGCTTCCTGTATGAATCAAATCTTATTGTGAGTTGTCTTAGTTTGGTCACAGATGTTTGACCAAATCTTGCTGCTAATGCTACCGATATATCTTTGGCAATTTCAAAACGCCTAACTCTCGTATAACGTCATTCTCCATACTACTCATCAATGTGATACGAACAATATAGTTCTTTTTCTTTCAAGCAACAAATGCATCCTTATCCCTCTTATGTTGTGCAATATTTCCATTTTCAGACTCTTTCAAAACATGGTTAAGAGATTCGAGTACTTCTTACTCTTCCAGTACATATTGAATTTTCATATTTCATATCTCATAATTCTCACCGTTCAATTTCTCTCATTTGTTCAGTTCATCCACTATGTTTTTTGATGTTGAAGTCATTATATCTTAACATTTCAGACATATATGCACAAATTATTAATGCCTTACATTTATGCATCTATTTTACATAAACCTATTACATTAATGAATAATTTCACAAGGTTTTAAAGTCGAAAGGTCACTATATTCCCAATCATCATCTAAGAATCCTAATTAGAAATTATCATTAACATAATTATTTATGTAAAACTTTATAGAACTCTTACTCACATATGATATACATAAGGCAATATCAATATATGAACAAAGCCAATGAATATTCATAAAACAAATAGACCATAAAACAACATATAAGTCTTACATGAAATGGAAATATTAACAAGTCCTAAAGAAATGACAAATATCAACATGAAAAAAAATTTCTACAAGCGATGACTTAAACTGGAAGACATAACATCAGCGCCACTCATGCCTCTCATAAACCAGGAAAGACTCGTCAAATTCTTTAGAAAAATTTATGGTTCTTTTTGGTAGCCAGGGGAAAACCCTCGGAAAAACCCTTAGGGTTACGCCAGGGCGCATTCATTCCGCACCAAGATACATTCATGCCAATGGTCGACGTCTTCGTTGCCCCGACCCTTATACGTTCTTTCAGGAAATTCTCTGCAAGTTTCTTATAATCCGGAGCAATGTTGATTTCCCAAAGACCTTCCAACACTTCTCGCTATTCCATTGGAAGAGTGGCTATGAGGGTTATAACTTTCTCATAATCTGGCATAGAGTAACCATTCCAAATGACGTCTTGTATCATCTGGTTGACCTTGATTATGTGTGACATCATGTCGATACGACCGTCCCATCGATAATCAGCTAAATCCTTTTTCAGCCCCGCAAGTTTTGCCTTTTGTTCCACTGTCTTTGGGAATATAGGCATTCGTATAAAATGTATCATTGTTCCTGCAACAAAGGATTACATATAATCCATGGTACTAAAATAGGAAACGCATCATAGGGTTCATTGTGTATATTCACATCCTTATAAACATCAAACATGTAATATGAATATACCACATTATAGAGCATTCCAATACGAACATGTTGGTACCAAGAACGCTCCAATCGGAGCTCCCACGCGCCCACACGTGCATCCACAGAGCACGGCGTGTGTGATACACGCGCGGTGTAGAGACCCGGTCTGAATCGGTTTGGTTCGACCGGTCAACGGTCAACGGGTCGAGTCGGTCAACGAGTCAACGATCGAGTTGGTCAACGGGTCATTCGGGTCAGGTTGGCCCGACTGCTGAACCCACGTGGCTAACGTCACGCTGGCGTCAGCCACGCCTGCTCATATGGTTGATGCGCGCGTGGGGTGTATGCATACGCGCGCGCCAATCGCTAGCAGGTGCATGACACCCACGCGGTTCTAGCGCGTGGTAGCATGTAAGGCATGTCTGCCCCTTGTGGCAGTACGTGGGGGCATGTGCGGCCTCCTCCGGTGGCGCGCCACCACTTGATTTTCTCATCTCAATGAGAACTACAACCCTACATTTTCAAAAACGATTTTTATTGCACGAAACATCGAGAAGCGACCCCAAATAGTACGGTCGGGTGTTGTTTTTCTTACCTGAGCATTCGTTGGAACCGTTTCCCGATTTCCGGCCAACAATCTCTTTATTAAACATGTTCAACGATCAGGAAACAAGAACATCGCTTTGATACCGATGATGGAAACTAATTCCAATAATGAAAAAAAATAAATCCAAATTTCATCAACGAGAAAATGCGGAAAACATGTCCATAAACACTTGAATAATTGATCGGGAGATACGTTACACAAAGAAACGTACCTTTGATTTCCACAGATTAAATGCACTTTTGTAATCTCGAGAGAGTTTCGATTTTCTTTCTTCGAGTGTATAAACGAACGACCGAGAGGAAGAATCGGAGGAACTTTTTCCCTTTTTTGTTGTGTTCGTTGGAGAGTTCTTACTTCTATTGTTTTCTTCTTCTTATTTCTTATTAGAAGAAAACAACGTAATATGGAAGTTACATCCCACAAAAACAAATAATTACCCTTTGCAGTTACTTTTGATGGATATGGGCTAATTTGCCCAACAAGGGCGGCCCACAAACCTATCACACTAGATAGAAACGGTTTATTAGAACTTGCGGTGGAGGTGTGATGCTCCTCTTGGGGGAGATTTCGAAGAATGAGCTCAAGTCCAAGTCCATTAAACACCAGAACGAGAACCCTCTCTAATCACGGATCTGACCATGGTGGTATCTACCTTCGTCGGTTGCATTTCTAATTCTTGAAACATATAATTATGTGGACCGAATGGGCGAAATATAATGACATTGAAAGAACCGTAACACGTTAATTGATTTATCTTGAAATTTTTATTATCTAAGAAATGAGAGTTCTAACTAGTATTCTCAAATTTGGATGTGAGCTTTATTTTTTGAAACAATATGAAAATTTTAAATTGTTGATATTTTTTTGTTAAGGAATCGAGTTTGAGAAGAAAAACCTTCTGAGTTTTACAGGTAAGGATCATTTCTTTTTAATTATTATGATATATATATATATATATATATATATATATATATATATATATGTATATGCATATCTATCCTCCTAAGCAAGAGGTAAAACTACTTTGTTTGGGGTCTCATGCAGACCTCAGCATTCATAAGATGTAAAACAACACGAGAGTGTTGCCTCCTTATGGGGAAGACAAAGATACACGAGGGATTAGGGGGCAGGGCGTGCGAGATTGGCACGTTAAAATAAAAAAAACGTGGTCTGGCTACCTGTCACATTAGTGGACAGGCGCAGACAACTCCTGTCGATTAGAGACAACCTCTACCTTGGTGAGATGCCTTGGTAACCAACACTAAATATCCAAGGTAGAATTCTCACGTTTGGATGAGAGCTTTATTTTATGAAACAATATGAAAATTCTAAATTGTTGATCTTTTTCTTTAAGGAATCGAGTTTAAGAAGAAAAACTCCTGTGTTTGACAAGTGTAAATCATTTCTTTTCAATTATTATTATATATATGTATATGTGTATCTAACAAGTAGGCTAAGGGAGTGCAAAAAACAGTTCGAGTGGGCAAATGCATAACCTGAATTTTTGGTCCCAACGAGAAAATATTGGCTAGGACTGTCTCGCCACGTCATCGCTAAGACAGTCCACCCGGAATTCGACACGTAGCCTTTGGGACCCACCATCAGAAATTTTCAAAAATTCAGCTCCCCTCTCTCTCCGTCTGTTTCTCCGTTGGGTCTCCGTTACTGCCCTCTTTTCTCTCGCTCTTCTGCTCTTCTTCTGTCAAAAGCTTATGCCGCTATGCTATGCCCTCTTCACGCGGAAGCCCTTTTTCTCTCTTCAGCAACTCCGCTCCTCACGACGACTCCGCACCACTCTTCACGACGACTTCGCTCCTCTCTGTACTCTGCTCTCTTCACAGCTCCGCACCCAGCCCTCTCTGTACTCATCCCTCTTTGTGCGAGCTCGCCGACCCCTTCACCCCTATTCCGGTGTAGTGTCTTTCTCTTCACTCCCACCGCCGCCTCCGTCGTCTCTCAGAGCCCCATTGGTGGCTACGATTTGTCATCTGCACACGACAAGCTCATATTAGCATTAATGATTTTGTTTTGGCTTCGTTCGAATCCTATGTTCTGCTCGTTTTGCTTTTCTTTTTGCCTTCTTTTGGCTTCTTTAGTCCGGTTGTTTAATACCTGTCATTGCCTAGCATTGTTGTGAAGTAAACCTTAGGGTATGTCGATTTTGTTTGGCCTACGGACTGCTTTGATGCAGATAGCTTGCGCGTGGATTGTAGTACTCTCTGTGTACGAGAATGTGGCCGTAGGTGATTGATTAGCTTCCCGGCATTGATTGGTGATGTGTGCGTGAGCATCGATTGTGGAAGCTGTGATAGGTGGTGGGAATTAGGTTTGTCTGAGAAGTGGTAGATGCTTAATTCAAGTAGACGAACTCTGTCATTGCTCAAATATAATCAAACTGCTTAAAATCAGATGAAGCCGTGGTTTCTTGATAAAATGGTTAGCTTGAAGAATGAATCGGAAATGCTTGAGATCAGATGAAGCGTTTTACCCCTCTTTCATCAATTAGGTGAGAATATCCATCTCATTCTCTTAGAATCCAATGTCCTAGTCTCCAAGACTTGATGGCATCGCCCATCTCTTCAGCCTCCCTCTTCCTTTTGTCACTCTCCACCACCTGCCAAACCCCCAAATGAAAATGCACTAGTCACATTCAATTCTTCCCAAAGCCCAGCAAACTCTAAGAAAGCCAACAATTCAAAAGGCACAATCTTCTACCTTATCCGATGGTGTAATGTTTTTGACTGGGTCTACTCAGCTTTCCTGCTTCCATTTGACGGATTTGCTTCACTGATGGGCACTAAGAAGCAACGGCGGAGGCAACGGCGGAGGCGTGGTTCATCGGATGACACCCAAGTTGCCTTCGCAGTAAGCCGTCAAGCAGTTTGATTATATTTGAGCAATCACAGAGTTCGTTTACATGAATTAAGCATCTACCACTTCTCAGACAGACCTAATTTCCACCACCTATCACAGCTTCCACAATCGATGCTCACGCACACATCACCAATCAATGTCGAGAAGCTAATCAATCACCTACGGCCACATTCTCGTACACAGAGAGTACCGCAATCCATGCGCAAGTTATCTCCATCAAAGCAGTCTGTAGGCCAAACAAAATCGACATACCCTAAGGTTTACTTCACAACAATGCTAGGCAATGACAGGTATTAAACAACCGGACTGAAGAAGCCAAAAGAAGGCAAAAAGAAAAGCAAAACGAGCAGAACGAAGGATTCGAACGAAGCCAAAACAAAATTATTAACACTAATCTGAGCTCGTCGTGCGCAGACGACAAATCGGAGCTGCCAATGGGGCTCCGGGAGGTGACGGCGGAGGTGGAAGTGAAGAGAAAGACACTACGCCGGAATAGGGGTAAAGGGGTCAGCGAGCTCGCACAAAGAGGGATGAGTATAGAGAGGGCTGGGAGCAGAGGTGCGGCACCATGAAGAGAGCAGAGCAAAGAGACGAGCAGAGTCGTCGTGAATAGCGGTGCGGAGTCGTCATGAGGAGCGGAGTTGCTAAAGAGAGTGAAAGGGCTTCCGTGTGAAGAGGGCATAACAGAGCAGCAAAAGCTTTTGACAGAAGAAAAGGAGAAGAGCGGAAGAAAAGAGGGCAGTAACGGAGGCCCAAACGAAGAAACAAACGGAGAGAGAGGATAGCTGAATTTTTGAATATTTCTGATGGTGGGTCCCAAAGGCCACATGTCGAATTCCGGGTGGATTGCCTCAGCGATGACGTGGCGAGACAGTCTTAGCCAATATTTTCTCCTAGCATCACATGGCAAGATTAGCATTCGTGTTAACACCTAAATTTTAGCTAACCATTTAATAATCAGTGCATAGAAAATTAGGGATTAATCTCTAACTCCTAAAGAAAAATATTAAAATTAGATTACATAGCATATAGTTTAGAATCATGTAGTTCAATTACATATTTGAATTGGATTGGCAATGGATGGACTTAAATGAATCGCTCTAAACTTAATGAAATTGGACTAAGTCCGCGTTTAAAAAAATTCTTGGCCAAGCCCATGGACATTATAACAGCTGAAATTTTCATTGGAAAATGTCACATTGGAACAATTGAATTATCGAATTATTAAATAATATACTTGGAAGATAATTTATATTATTTTATGAATATTCAGCTAGAGGAAATAATCAGAAAATTGCCTAAGTTGAGTGTCGGAATTAGGAAATAATATATCTTGGCTCTTGCAAAATAACCCTGGCTAACTCTTATAAATTGATATGTTATGGTTCACAACGGGAGTTGACAATTTTCAGAAACACGCAAGTGAAAAGCAGCCAAGTGAGTGAGTGCCCAAAGTGACAATGGGAGGGGAAGACAGCCGTGCGTGCCACGCCGCCACCGTGGGTGCCTGTGCCCTGTTCAAGTCTGCACCACCGAGAAGTCCCTGCACAACAACGACGCTAAACCAGCCCTCTGATGATGAAGCCGCCGAGCGTCGTTTTCTCTACCGAGATCTCAGCCCCGCGTCTTTTCAGCGAGTTTCTCACTACGAGTAGCCTCGGTCGTGCAGCAACGTGTCTGGATCCATACAACCGAGACTGATCCTGCAAAGTTCTGGTTTTTATTTTTTCCCGCAGACTTTTTGGCATGTTCTTGCAATTATCCCACGATTTCAACACATGCAGAAGACGCCACTTTCTTATTTCTTTTGAGATATAGAAGCGGCCAAAGAAGGTTGTTCGGTCAAAGTTTTCAGTAGAGACTCGGACATAAAGACTCACGAAAAGATTTGCATATTGAGAGTTCGCATTCGACTTAGTGGCTCATCGGTTTATCGCGAGAGTCCTTGGCCAAAACAAGACCTCCAGCTATGAGTCACTTTTGCCCTTAAGAGCCGCCGCCACCATGAGCTGAGCCGCTCCCCGTCGAACCGCTATCGTCGTCACCGCTGTCCTCGCCGTTGAGTACCACTGGCAGTCGTCCCGCGATCCGCAAGCCCAAGTCCGATCCGAGTTCGAATTGGAAGTCATCCGCGAAATTAGGTAAGATTCTCTTCCATATTCTTAGAATATTTAATTTCCTAATTTTTCAAGTGTTTGAATATTTCGTGAATATTCTGTGGACTGCTAAATATCTTAAGATAATGCATGTGATATCCGCAATATTTTAAGATACCCCGAATTAGAAGTTTTTCTTAATTTGGTAGCGTTCCGGGACGACTATCTGACCTTAATCCTAAGATACGATACGCGGCGGTACAGAAAGATTGTTATCTTATCTATAACCACTTGGATATGATAATATATCTTATTTGCTTTCCAATTTCAAACGATCGGCTTTCCATTGATATCTATAATCATATAGATATGATCGTTAGCTCGAATCATTCTCCTAAATTGAACATGATAAATAAAATGTTTTGGATTGTGTGGATTGCTCGAATGTGATTGATATCTTTGTTTGATTGCTTACTTTTTAAAACAATGAAAATCCAAAAATATTAGTTAGTTTAAATTAGAAGTTTTACATGTTTAGGAAATCCTGAAGATAGGATAATTGTTTAATTTATATTGGGATTTAGGGTAGTTTATTTCCTAGTTTAAACTAGGGGTTATTCTAATCCTAATAGATTATTTAGGGTATTTTAGAATTTCGAATTTTCATAAAAATATCCAAAAAAGAGTCACTTTAGAATAGGTTAAATTATCTTTTATAGAATAGATTGCATGTTAATTTAGGCATTTTTTTATTCCGAATTTCATTGAAAAATACCAAAAATACATTATTTGCCCGTCATTAGAATTAGGTCATATCGTCGCATGATATATAGTTCGCATGCTAGGTTTAATTAATTGCATGTCATGTTTTGCACGTCATTGCACTTAGGTTAGTTTTCATTTAAATAAAGATAAAAAGAAAACCTAAAAAATGTGTTGAGTGAATTGCTTATTAATTATAAATCATATTAGAGTTGTTTGCGTGATTTTCTAGCTAACATTGCAGATGCTTATGTTGCTAAAAGGTACATTGTTCTCCTAAGCTAGTAATTTATTTACCGCTTTCTTTATTGGGTGTTAAATTGGTGGATCGCATACCCGTATGCTCACCTCACATGTTAGCAATTTGGTAATAAAATTGATCCAGACTGCATGCTCAAACTTTTTTTTTTGAAAAGAAAAAGTACCGAAAGGACGTTAGACTAGTTCTAGCGTAATCAAGTCTCCGAACTCAAAATCTCTGTTCGTAGGAATAAAACATATCTCCCTATGTTTTATTTGGGTTTCTAATCGACCCACTGCAAAATAGATTAATAGCTACTCTAGCATGAAAACATTTGCATGTTAAGAACTTAAATCCTAAGTCGCGAATTGATAGGGCTTGGAAGGGTCCGAATTAGGTTTAGTCTTAATAATCCATTAGCTGAACCCCTAAGTGGTCCACCGTGGGAGGTTAGGTCACGACAATTCCCACTGCTTCAAAAACATGTAGCTATGCAATGTTTAGATGGCAGACCCTTTGTGATTCTTTGAGAAATTATCAAGTGTAAGATAAGTATCGAACTGAATTTAGATAGTTGAAATTGGCGAGTCCCGTGATAGTCTTGCGGAGTTTCATCAAATGTGACGGTCCAAATTCAATTAAGTACGTTTACTGAATTTTACTAAATAATTTCTCATTTTTTCCTTGTCAGGCTCCTATAAAACCCAGTTGATTAAATTGTGGGTTGCGATAGTCCCCTCATCTCGTCGGAACCTAGTACTAAAAAAACTGGCCATGTTCTCCTCAAACCACTCTTCTGATTTGTAGGCTACAATTATGCACAATTGCACATCACCTCCGGTTATATTTAGTTAGTTTTGCTTGCGGGCGATCTTCGCACTAGGTAACTCACCAATCACATCAGTGAGGGAAAATATAACCCTTTATCACGCATTTTACGATGCTTTTCTGGTATTTAATTTCAACTAGCTTGGGTAACCTTTGGATAGGTTTTCCTAGTCATTTTAGTTGGCAGTTGATGATGTTATGAATTTATAGGAATGTAATTATGCAAGTTTCTTGACAAAAAAAAAAAAGAAGAAAGAAATTTGGATAGAGTTTCTTCTGATGCATGTGGACGGCATGATTTGCATATGTACCTAAATATTAATCAAGCTGAAAAGTCAATGCCATGTGTTTATATAAGAAAGAGACATGGCCGGATAAATTATTTAATTGACTTAATACATATATAAAATTGAATTTGGATCTTCATATTTTACGAGGCTCACATGAGATCTATCATTTTCAATGATCAGTTTAGTATGTATAATACAACTATGTAATAATTTCACATATTACAAAGATAATGCAATGTTTTTCTCCATATTCGTTATTCATTGGACCTTTCCACAATAGTTAATTACTTAAATAAAAATGCAGGCTTGTTTGCTCCACACAATCTTTTTTGATGGAAAAGAAGTGCTTTTCCTTCTTACTTGAAATTTTTCAATAAATTATGAAACCAAATATCCATGTTAATATATACATATTATGAAAGTTTCAAATGTTTCGACTTTTAAAATTTTAAAATACATTGGATGCAAGAATTCGATTAAGCAAAAAGCAAGTAATAAAAATCAATTTGGACACGCTCGCTTTTCTACGTATATTTTTCCAGACCTTGGTGTTTCTTCCTATTTTCCATGCTTCCAGCTTCGCTAGCGTTTTTTTTTTTGGTTAAAACCAGCTTCGCTAGCGTTGATTTTTACTAGTTTTTTTTTTGTGGTTATTAGTGTAAATTGTAATTTGGAATGATCAAACGTAGAAAGTCGAACCTCCGACAAGTTAATGGAAAAATTGAAAAGAAAAGTGGGGAAGGGCGATAGGTTCAACTACTCCCTCTAGATTTTATCGTAGGAAAAATTACTTAAACTTATTGTAATTGTGTCAATTCAATTCGAAACCCTTTTTTTTTTTTCAATTCAGTCCATCCAGTCAATTTTGGTCATAAATTGCTGACATGGACATCGACTCTTATACGTGACCTGACTGACGCTAACATTGACATTTTAAATAATATTTTAATATTTTTTGAATATTTTTATTAATTCTTTTTAGTTTGCTTTATTTACTTTCATTCTTTTCTTTCTCTTTTTTTTTCCCACCATGGCCAGCAAGGGTCACCGGAGC